ATAAGGTCAAATAAGTGGTGAAGATTAGAGGTGTTACAAGATAGTAACAAAAAACAAAAAATGGAGGGGAGATAAAGATGACAGATCATGTTTGATAGGAAAAAAAGGAACAAATCACAACAGAGCATCTGCCAATCACCCACAGCCAAGGTGAGAGAGTGGGCAGAGTTTTGAGAGTCCAAACAGTGGCAATGATCATGGTGGGCGGAGCTTGAAAACCAAGACCAGAGTGGAGGAGAAAAAGACAGGTGGACTCTGAGAGCCAAGACGTAGAAAAGATGAGAAAGGTGGGAGGAGTCTAAGAGCCATGACAGAGTATGGATGAGCAAGTGGGAGGAGTCTGAGACACTATAAAAGTACAGAACAAGATGAAGCACAGAAGTATGCTCGGCTAAAATGAGTTTCCCCAGTAATTGTTGAATCACATTAAAACATGTTGATTTTTATTATTAACAAAGGGGAACATACATTTGTTCATTTAAAGGACCAAATCAGGTCTTTGTTGCCAACCTTTGTCTATTGTAGACAAAAAGTGAAGCACATCAGAAAAGTCATGAAGGGCTACCCCTCAAAGCAGGACTCCTTCGGCAGTAACCTCAAATGTCAATTTGCATCAGAAAAAGGAATAAACTAGAACATTTGAGTACGAGCCTCTATTCTTAACTTGAGTTGGCCCTCACAAGCAGGGTTGGAAGCCCGCCTCCTTTCTCGTTATAATCATCATTATTAACTTACTATTATTTTTTTTTCTTTTATTACAGAGAAGAATATCGACACAATGATGGTCATATAGTGCTGTGAAGAAGAAATACAGACAGACAGAAACAGCAGAGGGAAAAGAAAAACTGAAAAGAACTACCAGTGGCACCCTCCAACAAAAGTAAAAAAAGAAAACGTAGGTGTTTTTCGCAAAGTTTAGATCATTCTGGAAGCCGGCTGCTCTGAACCTGTCTGTAGGGGCCAACCCAGGCTGTGAGGAATGCAACATCCCAGAAGAAATATGGAAATAATTGATAAAAATTCTCCCTACTCAAGAATAGAACTCACATCTTCAGGATAAGACGCTAAAGCACCTAACCTAACAGATACATCACAGACACCAATAGAAAAAAGACACATACAAATGTACATAATTCACAATGTTTGGCAGCATTCACTGAGTAAGTAAAGCTAGCTTACCATTCGTCCTGGTGTGTGTTTGCCTGAGAGAGGGTATTAAGTGTCAGTGTTGCCTGTCTTAATAAGTGTATGTAACCCCCCATTAACACTATTAAGTTATTCAAGAGGCAAAACCTCCTCATTCAAGGTACCTCTCCAATAAGACAGAGCCAAATGGGTTGAGAGCCTTGAAAACTCCACAAAACGACCCGAGTTCAAGAATGCCCAGTCTGGGATTCAAACCAGGGCCATCCGCTCCGTAGTCCACCATGAAACCTACTGAGCAACCAGAGCGTCCTTATCTGTCTTGCATATCCCATACACACATGCATTCAATAAGATTGGTAGAAAACTTGATTGTAAATATTCATTCCCCCATCGACATAGACTAGACCATTTAAGAGGCAGGCTACTTCTGTCAGGGCCATCCCGGCAGATAGACAGAGATTTTCCATTGAAAATTAAAATGTGGGGAACGGACTCATGTCTTTTCCAAGCAACGGCAAGGGGTCTAACCATTGCACCACAAATACCACTCAGCACATTTCAAGGTTGATCATTCATATATTCATATAAAGAGAGACAGAAAGAAAAAGAGAGAGGGAGAGGGAGAGGGAGAGGAAGAAAGAGAGAGAGGGAGGGGGGGGGGAGAGGGAGAAAGAGAGAGAGAGAGAGAGAGAGAGAGAGAGAGAGAGAGAGAGAGAGAGAGAGAGAGAGAGAGATGGATAGATTTTACATTGACAAATTGTAAGAGATTATATTATATACTAATACTACAATATGTACACATCATACACAATCAATGACAAGGTTTTGAAGTTTACATTAACATGCATGCATATATACATATTATGTATGCATATACAAATACACACACAGGAGCTATCAAACTAAAAATTAAATATGGGTTTCAAATCATAATTTTCCTCAACAAATCCCTATGGAGACATGTATTTATTGCAACAATCTCGAATGAATGTATTCTTGGGTATTCAGCCAAATGGAAAGGAATATTAAAAACAACAAACAATTACAAAGACTACATCAACAACTAAGACAGTGGAACAGAATGAGAAGATCGTGCACTTCAAATTCCCCATAATTCACCAGAGAACATAATGCAACATTTTTTTAGTTTTTAGTTTTAGTAAGAGTTTTACAGAACTTGTAACACATACAATACAGGTCATTTTAGGGCTGAAGATTAGAGGTGTTATTAGAGAGTAACATAGAGAGAAAAGAAAGAGGCGAGAAAAGAACAAAAAGGTCATGTTTATGAGTGAAGAATATTAAGAGGTGACACAAGAGAGTAACAAACACAAAAAAGGAGGAGGCAAGATAAGGACCATTAAACATTTCAAAGGAAAGAAGGAGCAAACCATATTAGAGCACCCATCAACCACCCACCACAAAGGAGGTTGATGGGAAAGAGGGAGCAAACCACACCAGAGCCCCCACCAACCACCCATCAACAGGGGTTATATATAGGAAAAAAGGAACAAACCACACTAGAGCAACCATCAAGTGCCTAACCACGACACAAAAGACGATGGCTCCAAGTGACCGGATCGCCAGCTCACAGTCAAAAAGTCATAACAACAACAACAACAACAACAACAACAACAACAACAACAACAACAACAACAACATGCCCTGTCTTGCAAACAGAACGTGGGCAACTGAGCTGTGATAAGGCACCTTAAGGAACATAAAAAATATAATGCATTTATTTACAGGGAATCTTGAAAGAATTTCACACGGTCATTATATCATCTTATCCTTCACTTAGAACGTGAGTATTTAGGAGTATTTAACCTTTTGTACTTTATCCATAGACTTGTATTACGATATCCAAGACTGTGCACTCTGACTTAATTACAGTTCATAATGGAGCACACCATTTGACTCTATTTTAGTTTTAGTAAAATTTTTACGGCACTTGCCTCACAATAAGGTCATATAAATGCCGAAGATTAGAGGTGTTACAAGAGAGTAACAAACAAAAAAATAAGGAGACGTGATAAGGACGATAGATGTTTGATAGGAAAGAAGGAGCAAACCACACCAGAGCATCCACCAGCCACCCACTGATTCTACTAGAAACCAAATGAAGGGCAAGGAGGGAAAGACAGAGCATACAATCAACTATAGCAAGACTGAAGTTTTGCTCTTCACTTACTCGTCCATGGAGCATACCAGCACAACAAAGTCTTAACAGAAAGCAAAGGGAGGCGGCCATGACAGTGCCAGGTCTATGATATTGAAATTTAAGCCTATGGGCAGCCATAACAGTGACCAGTCAAAGATATCAGATTTTAAGTCTATAACTTCTACACAGGTCTTCAAGAAGCAGGACCTAAGAATTAATGCCATTCCTACGTGAGATAAGGCAAAGAGTAGACAAACTATTAATCACACATATTCTAAAATACTTACACAAGAACGATTTCAACCTCAGGGATCCATACCACAGTCAAGTGTGTAACATACTACACCAATGCCTCATCCATACAATAACAGATCACAACCTGAGAGTGGGAAGGAATGAAGCGCACCAACCCGAACAACACACAACACACAACTTTGTTGACCTGAATAAAAGTGACTTAAATCAACACAACAATGTTTCAGATTCTCACATTTCATTTTCGTTTCTCTGATCCAGCATCCCTACAAAATGATATTCTCAAACATAAGTGTTTTTACACCCCCATCTACACAATTTAGATCATTTAGGAGGAAGGCTTCAAACCCTGTCTGTCAAGGCCAAAACAAGCTGAGAGAGATAAAACGCCCCAGTAGGGAGACTGGGCTACTAGCTAAAAATTTCTCCCCACTAGTAAATCAAATTCAGATCTCTTGCGCGTGACAGCAAAGTGCCTAACCACTACACCACAGACGCTGCTGGTGCGGCCATCTGAGTTCAAAACTTTTGGTCTGACAGTTCTCACAAAAACACCCTGAGACTTTAGAACATGACAATGAAATCATTTTAGGGTTGTTTTATTTTGTAGAGCATCCGCACAGAGGAATGTGTGGGGAACTATGAATGATTGCTGATGTCTGTTTCAGATCCTTTTTTAAACGATACAGTAAAAGCAAGTTCTTTGGCATAAACATTGTGAGCCCTGAGCTGTCCTGAGCTGCATCATTAGCAGAAAGGAAAGAGTCAAAACGTTCTAGCTGCCCACGGATTAATAAATTACTGTAAACTCGATCCACAGCACAACAAATTTTACCAACAGGAAAGGCCCAAAATGGACGATTCCATTCGGGACAAAAAAATAAAAGCCAAACAGAAATTGTGATCTTTAGTACCAGAACCAAACTGAATATACAAGGATTTGAGTCCAATCTGACCAAATTTGAGACAACAAACCATGAATCATACTGCTCTGCATTACCGGTAGATTATCTGGGAAGTAAATTAAATTTGCTAACTTACTTAAGTAGCTCACAAATTCACTAGCATCAAAAAGCAAGGAAAATGACCAGAACTGTTTTCCCCAACCCCTGAGCTTTCCCAGAGTCAGTCATTTATATGTAAACTGCTCCATTGATTTACAGTGGGAACAAACCCCACAATTAAAAAAAAAGATATGACAATCACACCCCCCCCCCCCCCCCCAAAAAAAAAAAAAAAAAAAACTCCATCATTTCTGTCCACCCCCATCACCTCCCCACTCGGAGGGGGAGGGGACACCACTACAAAATTAAAACTATCTTTTTGGAAACCACTACATCTCAACAAATCCAAAAACATGACAAGCAGACTTGAGCCTTTTGACAACTTTATTCTCCCCCCCCCCCCGCTCCATAAAATCAGCAATGGAATTTTTAAAAAAACATCACAGCTCAGACCTGAAAATATTGAGGCCTATTGTGGCAAGGAATGAGGCACACACTGACAAACACAGCCATGGTGCCAGGTGACATGTGACAGGTGACAGATGACATTATCAATCATCACCTCACTTCTCACCTCAGCCTACCCACAACAGAATCTGTTCTCAATATCTCGGGCAATAAATGTCCATTACATTAATTACAAAGACTATATTTCTCCGATGATTCAATATATACACTGAGAAATCTTCCGTCTTCTCATCAGATGAAGGACAGGGCTGCATTAGGAGGCAGATTCCATCACAAACAGAATCAATTCTCAATATCATGGGTCTTAAGATCAGTTACAAAGACGTTATGTGTCGGGACACGGTAGAAACAGGCGGAGGTCAATTATTTTTGGGCTTGTGGAGTTATCGACATCATCTTAAAGTGTGTTTATTTATCTTGTTTTGAAGAAACACATTCCCATTTATCTTAAATAGAAGTTGAGATATTTGCGATTAATAGAGGTGGAGGTTGCCTGATGTCAGAGGAAAAATTAAATAAGATAAGATAAGATACATCTTTATAATTTGGCAGCCAGTTTGGTGACTCTTAAAGTTGAAGTATCCTTGGAAACTGCAAATTTACAGTTTTTGTGCCTTTGATCAACAAATTACAGTAAAATACTCATGAAATGTTTTTAAATGGACATAAACGGTGTTGAACCCCATGGAAAATCTATAAAAACTGCCCAGCAAGAGTAAAATACCCTTTTCTTCGCTTATCAATATTTTAACAAGTGCCTGATTTCAACACAATACCCGACATATATCTCCAACAACGTCCATGTTTACACCGAAAAATATTCTAACTTCTCATCAGACAAAGGAGGGGGCTGCATTGGGCGGCAGATTCCATCGCAAGCTACCGTTGTCTATACTGGGACTTCTGAGGGAACCATCGTAACCAATGCTGCTGCTGCTGCTGCCTATTCTGCTCCTAGCAGGCGGCTGTTGTGGTAACGAGGGGCCCGGAGTGTTATAAGCTGTTGTGCTGTTGCTGTATGCTGTTGAGCTGTTGCTGTACACTGTTGAGCTGTTGTAAGCTATGCTGGCCTGCGGCAATGCTTCGGCAGCCTCTTGCCTAAAAGCTAACCCAGTGTGCTTGGACAGTGACTGCGATGACGGTTGGTTTGAAGAGTAACTCATACCCTGAGGCGCGGAGCGTGGGGTCGGAACAGGTCGCGGGGCAGCTGTGGGTTTCGGTGCTGGCACTGGTTTCGGGGCTGGGGTGGGTTTTGGACCCCTGAGCTGTGACGTTGAGTCTTCTAGTCTTGCAGTAGCCGGCGGGAGCGACCTTGGGGCGGGGGTGGGCCGTGGGGCTGGTGTGGGTCGTGGGGGGTCTGGCATTCGAACCTGAGGGGCTGCCGTCAAAGTGGCGCTGACTTCCGCAGGAAGGTAATCCCTTGACGATGATGACGACAGCATTGTGGGCTGATTGTTGGGAAGACTGAAGCCGTTGCGGTACGCTCCACCAATACCATGACTGCTACCACCGCTGGTGTCTGTCACACCGGAACTAGACCGCATCTGTGACGTGGGGAGTACTACTGTCGGAGCTGTAGGACTTTTCAGAGTCATATAATCACCGTTAGACGCCCCACCGTTTCGGTCCGCCCCCAGGCTAGAATAGTCCATCACAGGAAGAGGTTGTGACCTCAATGATGTCGCGCTATGGGATTGGAGGGTAAGGGTAGGAGGTTCGTATTCGGTTTTGTAGTTTACCATATTATGATGGCCAGAACCGTTGTACGAGTGACCAGAGGAAGAGTAGTTCTGCGAGGAAGTATTTAAAGGTGGATAGTTCGAATCCTGAAGCCTCCGATCTATATCTGCAGCCCCGCTGCCACTATTACCACGCAGCGAGTTTGCTGAATACTTTCCAGCACTGTTCATGCCAAATTGGCCGTTGTCTTGTGACCGCGCCGTAGCACCAGGTGACCTCAGATCCACGTAATCACTCTCATGTCCATATGCGCTGTCATAACCTGCACCACCGTTGAAATAACCAGCTGAGGAAGAGGAAGCAGCAGTGGGCGAGGTAGGGGAAGTCACCGCATGGTCCATAGACCAGCCTGCCCCATCGCCCGGTGATCGTATAGCGTCGGATGACATTTGTCGGTGGTAGTCGCTGCGAGCACTGTGGTGTGCTGGGACCATGGGTGGCTGGCGGGGAGGCAGATGTGGCTCTCCGTGTGCGGAGCGAGCAGAACGGTGGCCCGTCGCGTGAGAAGTCAGGCCTCGGTCGTGGACACCATCAAACTGAAATACAACACAGATATTAGTTTTCAGTTCTGGTAAGAGTTTTAGTTTTACAGCACTTGGATCACAAATAGATCATATCGACTGCTCAGTGAAAGACTCCACCATATGACATTTTAAAAATGACATATAATGGAGTCTTACACTGAGCAGTAGATATAAGTGCCAAAAAGGTGTTACCAGAAAGTAATATACAAAGAAAAGAAAGGAGATATGGATGATGGATGTTTGATACGACGAAAGGAGCAAATCACAACAGAGCATCCGCCAAGGGGTAGGGTAGAGAGAGAAAAGGGGGAGAAAGAGAGAGATGGAGAAAGAGAGCGCGACAGTGAGAGAGAAGAGAGAGTGAGAGCCAGAGAAAGATAAAGAGAAAGAGAGATTGAGAGAGAAAGATATATATATCTACCTATATATATCTATCTATATATAGAGAGAAAAAGAAATAGAGACAGAGAGAGATAAAGAGACAATAAAACAGACTCACGTGATCGAAATGGCGCTGATCGTCAGTAGTGATCACGTGCGGGGCCCAGCTCTCCCCGGTCATGGGGAAAAAATCTGGAGGGACCACGTCTATAGGGTTCACCTGCACAGAGATACAGAAAAAAGTATGTCAGTGCAATTATATCTCAACCACCTCTATAAGATTCACCTAAACAGAAATGGAGAGAAGAGTATGTTATTGCAATATCATGACCATGTCTATAGGATTCACCTATACACAGATAGAGAGAAATGTATATTATATTAAAACCACATCTACAGGATTCACCTGCACTGAGATAGAGAAAGAAGTACGTTATTGCAATATCAGGATCACGTCCATAGGATTCACCAACACAGATATAGAGATGAGTACATTATTAAAGCAATATCAGAACCACGTCTATAGAATTCACTAAAACAGAAATGGAGAGAAGAGTATGCTATTGCAACACCAGGACCACATCTATAGGATTCACCTACACAGAGATAGAGAGCAATGTTTGTTATATCATAAACCACATCCACAGGATTCACCTACGCAGAGTTAGAGAGAGAAGTATGTTATGGCAATATCAGGACCATGTCTATACATGTCACCTACACAAAAATAGTGAGAAGTATGTTATATCAAAACCAGGACTATATTTATAGGATTTTGTTTTGTTTGTTTTAGTAGAGGTTTTCACAACTGCATAAAGTCATATGGGCGCCAAGGGGTGGAAGTCAACAGAGGAATCAGGCCTACTCTGCTCACCTCTCTACCTTCAACAGCACAAAGTCTGCTTCCATTATCAAGACACCCCGAAATAGCGGGTCACAAGAGTGTGACAAACATACAAAAGAAGTAGAGGAAAAATGATGATAGTAAGGATTAGGAAAGAAAAGGCAGCAGTTCCAAGTTGCAGTTTAGGTACATTTATGAGCATGACATTAATGAGTCAGCCCATTTACAATCACAAGTCTACTGTGCATAATAACATGGTTAATTTCCCCCCTTAGGGAATGGCCTTAAGACACTTCAGTCAGTGGCACCGCCCCAGGGGGTTATTTATAGGATTTACTTACACAGAGACACAGAGAGAAGTACAGTAGTCTCCGCCTAAACGCACGCCACACAAAAGCACGCTCTGCTTAAACGCACGCTTTCATCATCTGACCGTTTTTTTTACTATATAATTTAGACGTACAAACGCACGGTCACTCCCTCTAAACGCACGCTCCGATCTGCGAAACATGGCGACAAGTTTAGCTTGGCAAGGGGAAATTTTCACAACAATCTGCATAGCCTGCATAAGACAAGCATAGAATTTACTACAAAACCGGATATTTGGTGAGAGTGCCCCTAACGCCGTACAAAGAGAGTGATAGACAGCTTTTACACATCCTACTTTCCACTGACGCATAGGTCTCGGTCTAGGGCTGGTCGGTTAAATGTTGGGTGGGCGGGGGAGGGAATGGGATTTGGGGAACTGAAATGCTTTTTGATTGGTCACTGGAAATGTATCTTTGAGAGAAGGTTTCTGACTGGTTTTGAATTTGAGTGACTGCGTTTCGTTTAATGTTTAGTTAGATCTAGGCCTGATGAGCAACATGCGTAAATGCCGCAAAACACTAGACAGGCCTCTATAGGATTAAAGATTAGCCAAGTAAGCCTAGTAAGCTGCGCTCGAAGAACTTAACATACCAATACTTGTTCAACGAATCACAAAGAGAAAATGTTTCTCGAGGATGATTCTGCATGAAATTTGCGGTCGGGGTGGTCGCTTGGAAAGCCACGTGGCTGGTCCGTCGTTTCTATGACTATGACCAACAGTTTCCTCTTAGGCTATCTGTTCCCGATGTTTATAGTGCATATTCATTACATTGAGTCTGTCTCCCCCATGTATAAACACACGCTAAGGAGCCCTCCCGAAAACCGTGCGTTTAGGCGGAGACCACTGTACATTATTGCAATATGAAGACCACATCTATATTCTTCACCTACAGAGACATAGACACTGCTGGTTTACATACAGGAAGTTAGAGAAGAGTCGAAGAATAAGTAAAATGATATTTGTTTATTTGGTTGAGTAAAGAGTAACACATCGACACAATAATGGCATTAGTCCAAGGAAAAGATAAGACTGATAGGCAGAAACAACAGATGGAAAGAAAAGACAGAGTAAAGGAAGACCCTCTATAAGGACCTTGAACTGAAGTTTACAATCAGCTTTCACAACATCTGCCACATTTTTAGTCTGCATGCATAATCATAACTGCCGACTTTTCAAAACCAAAAAACAGGCTCTACTCGCCCAACAGTGGCCAAGTGACCGTCATTAAACCCTTCAAACACTCTTTTCTGCATTCAATGAATTCAAGCTATTCGATCTCTCCAACTGACTTGTGGACTTCTTTTTCATTACCATCTGCATTTCCAGTCTTGAAAGTTCACAACTTTCCTTCAACATCGACATATCCATGAGGAGCAATACTATACTTTACTTTCACCCGAAGTCCTACCTTTTTCTCCAGCAGGTCAGGAAAGAAAACATCTTGAAAGAAGTGTAAGTCTTGAAAGGAGTCAAGGTCTGAGAGTCGCTTGTGGGGACTTTTGGTGAGTACCTGCAGGGGAAGAAGGGGAGATATGAGTGAGATGTGAGCTGGGGGGGGGGTTGATAGAAATTATTGCACTGTTTTTTTGCGTAATTTTTTTTTCTCCATTTGTTTCTCTTCTGTTTTCATTTCTATCATGTCACTTTTTTGAGGTATGTGAATAATGGTGTGTGTGTGGGGTGGGGGTGGGGGTTAGAGTATATGTGTTTGCAAGTGGACATTTGCACAAATGACTGTCTTGGACAGGTGGCCATTAGAGCAGGTGGTTGTCTTGGACAGGTGGCAATTAGAGCGGGTGAATATCTTGCACAAGTTGCCGTAAGCACAAGTTAAAAAGGTACTGACATGGTTGATGACATCCTGGGCAGAGTCGCTGACATAGCTGGGCAGGAGGTAGTCACACTCGAACACACGCTGCGCCATCTTGGTGTGGGTGTCGGCTCCGTCCACCGGGTACTGGGAACAAACACATCAGAAAGGGTTTTTTTTGAGTTGTAATTAAGAATTTTAAGGCACTTGCAACACTATCTGGTCACACAAGTGCCGAAGACTTAAGTTTTTGATGTTTTATTGAGAGTTTTACAGCACTTGCAGCACAATAAGGTAATATAAGTGCCAAAGATTAGAGGTGTTACAAGTGAGTAACAAACAAAAAAGAAGGAGGACAGATCAGGACGAGAAGGAGCAAACTACATCAGAGCACCAGACAACCACCCACGAAGATTAAAAGTGTTACAACTCGAGAATGACACACAAAGAAAAGAAGAGGAGGAGAGATAAGGATAATAGAAGTTTGAAAGGAAAGAAGGAGCAAACCACACCTAGAAAAGAAAGAAAGTAAAGACACAGCAGTGCACCTCATACAATCAGTGCTTCCACCAGCTGAAGCTGAAAAGTAAGGAAAATGCTGCCAGGGGTCTGGCGAAGCCCCCAAAGAAATTGAAACTTAGGGCTTTTAGAGGGTTGAAAAGGGCATTTGGAAGCCTGTTTGAAGAGATGGCGTACAACCCATGACATTTATTTTTTCACCAACATTTTGTTAGGTTTGATATCTTAACCTACATCTTTCCATTGCTGGCAATATTTAAATGCAGGTTCCCCTTCCATTGCTACTATAATTCGATTAATTTGTCATCGCACTATTGATAGAAGGCAAACCTGGTAATAATGAATAGATATGTACTTTCACAATACAAATACCCAGCGTATACCCTAATTTTCCTCAATTTTCACGTCTGAATGAAGCATGTCACAACCTCGGAACACTACTTCGAATTATTCTTGAAGATTTTAGTAGTTTTAGCACAAATTTCTTTCATCGCGGCCCTCATCGCGTTCCCGTGCCGTAGAATCTTCACACTGATAATTTCTTTAGATCTTGACAATAAAATTGCAAAAAAAAAGTGTCTTTCTGACAGTAATTTTCTGTCTAAGATCACAAGTCAATTTACTTGATCAACGCGCAGATTTTCCAGCCGCGGCAACAATTCGAAGATAGACAGACGGAATGAGGAGGGAATGATAGAAAGGAGGAAATTGGCACAAAAAGTTAGCCAGATTTTGATCAATCGGCAGGTAAAAATCTACTGCTGACCAACCCACAATGAATGCATGGGGCATAGACTAGCGGAATAATGGCCGATGGCAGGAAATGCGCAATCTGGCAGGTTTCTATAACATTAACTTATTACCGAGAGAATTACCGTAAATATCCGTAACTTATATAAGATGATACGAAGGCGAGTACGGATCTTTTGGTATGGAATTTCGCTGTTGCAGCTTTTTACGGAGGGAGTTGATAATGATAGAGGAACAAGTACGAAACATCTTTTTAAAAAATGGGCATATTTTACAAAAGCAGGAACAATCGTGCAATAGAGAGCACATTTTTACAAAAGCCTGTACACATCTTCTAAGCCCATTGCTATCTTTTTTTTTCTTCGACAAGTCTGTTCTCACTAATGTGACAAGAGAAATAGAAAAAACTATCACATACGTAAGACCAGTTGCACTGAGGTTGAAGAACCAGCAGTCGACTACCTGTGAGATCTAGCAGTGGAATGTGAAGAAGGAGGAAGAGGAGGAGGAGGAGGAGGAGGAGGACGACGAATAACAAGAAGAACAAGAAGGAGAAGAAGAAGAACAAGAACAAGAACAATAAGAAAATAGAAGAACACAACAGAAGAAACATGAAGACACCCACCTTGCCAGCCAACATAGCGTACATGAGAATTCCCAGCGACCACCAGTCGGCCGAGTGGCCATATTGGTACACGGATAACACTTCTGGCGCTGGAGGGAGAATAAAAGGTTATTGTAAGTGAGGTTTTTTTAGTTTCATAAGAGTACAATCAAAACTGTCTATGACCGTGACCCATTGTTGAGGAGAAAATTGCTGGTCTTTGAAAGTGGAAGTCTTCAACAGTGTCAGTATGATATTTTTAAACTGAAAGGGGGGGAAGTGAGATGTGATTGTTTGTACAGGTGATTGTCTTGTTAAGTTTAAGTTAGAGTATTATGGCACTTGCAACATTAGGTCATATAAGCGCTGAAAATTAGAAGTGTTACACACAAAAAAGAAGGGGGACTGATCGAGATGATAGATAATCAGATGTTTAAAAGGAAAGAAGGAGCATACCAGGAGGTGTTTCTAGACAGCAACATACAAGGAAAAGGAGGAGAGATGAGGACGATAGAGGTTTGATACGAAAGAAGTAGCAAACCACTCAGGAGGCAAATGCAAACATACACTTTCACGCACACACAAACACACACACACACACAAAAAACACTCACCCATATACTGGAGCGTGCCACAAACCGTGCGGGTCACCTCCCCGCCCTGGAGCCATTTGGCAAGGCCAAAATCAGTGAGCTGTATGTGACCTTCTGCATCGAACAGAATGTTCTCCATCTGTGGAGAGAGAGAAAGGGCGTGAGAGAGATTTAGAGGGAGGAGGGATAGAGAAAGAGAAGGTAAGAGAGAGAGAGAGTGACAGAAAGAGAGAGAGAGAGATGGTAAAAGGAAGTCAGTCATCTGTAGAGAAGAGAAGGAGTGATATGTAAAAAAAAGTGTTTTTTTCAATAATGTCAGTTGTAAAACTTAACTCACGCAACACTAATAAGTGCTATAGCGTCATCCTTTAACGTCAATTGTCTAATTGGTGCACTTCTGAGCTGAAGTTAGTAAGGGTTGTGTTAAATAAAAATAAAGTTCCTATGAGACAGGTGTCGGCCCTAAAATACAGCCTTAAACTCAGACACTTACCTTGACATCCCTATATATCACACTAGAGTTGTGCAGGTAGTCTGGAAGAAAACAAAAACATCCCCATAAACTGATGTCAAAGTGAAAAAAAATTCATTGTACTTGTTTTCTTCCCCCCATCGACACCACAGTCCAGATAGTTTAAGACAACTAGCTACTGCTGAGGAGAAGAGTTGTGGTCTTAGACAGGTGGACATTTAAGTGTCATTACTATGGATCATTAACAAAAACAGTCATTATAAGGTAAAAAAAAAAATGCAAGGGGGTAATGAGAAATGGTCTTTTGTACATGTGATTGTCTTACACAGGTGGCTGTTAGGGCAGGTTTGACTGTATTTTAATTATTGAGGAGGCAGGTTGCTGCAACCCAGAGAAGAATATACTGTTTGAGTTCCTTGTTTCTAAAGTGCAGAGCCGGATTTCTTTAATCAGGATTGAGCACTATATAAATATAATTCATTATCATTAATGTTATACACTTATAAATGTGGGAAATTTACCAATGACCATGGCCATCTCTGCGATGTAGAGCCGCACCAGGTCCTCTGGGAAAGCACCGTGGAATGTCCATAGTGTGAACATGTCACCGTGGGGAATATAGTCCAACACTGAAAAAAAAGGTCAATAAAGATGATAACAACAATGATAATGATAGTCTATCCATACATTACACTTTACAGATCCTCGTGGGGAAATTCGGATTACAATGGTAAACATACATACATAAATACATATCTGAACACGCAAATTAACTACATAGAATGCGCCATGTACCATTTTGAAAAGTGACATATGACAATCTTTCTTTTTTTTTTAGTTTTTAGTAAATTTTTACGGCGCTCGTAACGGCATAAGGTCACATGAGCGCCAAGGGGTGAATGTCAACAGAGAAGTCTTTACAGGGAATCAGGCTTACTTTCTCTGCTCACCTCTCTAGCTTCAACAGCACAAAGTCTGCTTCGACTATCAAGGAACCCCGGAAATAGAGGGTCACGAGAGTGACAAACATACAAAAGAAGTAGAGGAAAAATGACTATAGTAAGGATAAGGAAAGAAAAAGCAGCAGTTCCCTGTTGTAGTTCAATCACAGTTATGAGCATGACATTGATGAATCAGCCCATTTACAATTCTACTGTGCACAAGAACATGTTAATGTCCCCTCCTATGGGGATGGCCTAAAGACACTTCTGTCAGTATACTGAGTAGTCAACATATATACATACAGAGAATACCAAACACACAATGTTACATCACAGATGCCAGTGAGAATGTGTTCCACAAAGCATGTTTTCTGACAATATCACCTCAAGGGTATTGGTGAGACTAGAACCCTAAAGGCCTACTAGTAATGCCATGCTTTTTAGTATTATTAACATCATTATCATCATCATTATTATATATTTAACATTGTTGTTGTTACTAATATCATAACTATTACAGTTATTATTAATATCAATATTATTATCATCATTATTATTACTATTGTATTATTATTACTATAATTTTCATCATCATCATCAATATCATTTTTACTATTATCATTGTTATCATCTTACCTATATAGAGATACCTCTGTGACTGCCAGTACTCGTGTGCCTTGACAACCAGCGGGTGATCTCCGGCCGCCGACTGGGAACAACACAAACAGGTTTCACAGACTAGTGTAATTTGATGAAACAAACAGTTCAAATTGTCTCAGACAGCCACATATAGTCAAGGAGTAAAGTGGTTGTCTTAGGTGAACGTCTTACAAGGTGTCATAATAATGTTGTAGTTTGTTTTTTAATTTCTAATTGGAAAGTGGGTGATTGTATTGGTGACTGTCTTATACAGGAGGTCTTTAGAGCAGGTTCGACTGTAATCCTGATCATTTGAGTTGGAAGAAAAACATTGTGTATTTCCAACTTATATTTCTTGTAACACATTTCATACCGCATACAAGGATTCCACAGGCAAACCATTCATGGGGATTCTCTCTTCGAAGTGATACCTCTAATATTTACAATAAACTACTATTACCTTCTATCACAGTGGATTCCCTTGAAATAATCATCAGGATAATAAGATAATATAACACTCAAGTCAAACTGTTCTAGCACTCATCTATATGTAGGTCAGAGAAGCTGAAGAGTATGAACAATAGCAAAGCGATTCTACACAACTGAGATGTGTTGAATAGGTATATTATGGATAAGTTTAGTTTAAGTACTTGTTTTACGCCACTTGCAACCCAAAAAGGTCATATAAGTGTTGAAGATTTTTATTTTTTTGGTAAGTGTTTGATAGCGCTCGCAACTGCATAAAGCCATATGAGCGTGGGACACATTAAACATTTTTCAGTTGGTAAGAAATTTTATCAATTCTGAACCACCAAGGGATCTTTTAGTGAGCGCAACTTGCACACGTGCCCTCCGAGATTTTAAGCCCTTGTCTGAGAAGGCTAGGTGTAGATCTTACCTACCATAAGATCAGGGGTGTGGCTGAAAGACAGCAGTAAGAAAGAGCCAACAATGTTAGAAAGCAGGAAAGGATGTGAAAGGAGAAAATTTTAGAGAAGAAAATATTCCGTCGCTATCTGGATTCGAACTTGGGACCTATTGAATGAGAAGCGAACACCTTAACCTCTAGGCCACGAGAGCCCCCGCTGAAGATTAGAAGTGTTTCAAGAGAGTAACAAACACAAGAAAGGAGGAGAGATAAGGTCAATAAATATTTGAGAGAAAAGAAGGAGCAAACCACACCATAGCACCTGCAAATCACCCACTGCAACCAGCTGGAAAGACCCTTCTCATAAATCATAATTGAATGAGAAAGACAGACAACTCCTACTGACCTGGATGGCTGCCTCGTCCTTGCACTGTCTGATGGCCCCCTCCTGGAAAATCTGCCCTTTGTCCAGAACCTGGAGAAAGCATTATATTGAGGACATCTTTTAAAAAGGTTTTCCTTTATTACTGTTGTTGTTTTTACACCCCCATTGAGACAATTTAGATTATTTGTTAGGGCTGATCGGGCAGACGGGGAAACCACATCCAAGCAAAAAAACTGAGATATTCAATAAAATCTTTCTCCCCACTCAAAAATCTAATTCAGGTCTCCTGCATGCGGCAACAAAGTGCCTAACAGCTACATCACAAATGCCATGCCAGTAAAGGATATCCGTGTCACTTCATACATAATGTTTCTAAGCAAGTACACTTGTCAGTATGTCAGTATTTAAGCACTCAATCAGCTGCATGCACTGTATGCTTCCTGGAAGGTCGAGAATGTTTGTAAGTGTTAAAGGGTCAGCTAGGGTAACATTACTGAGCGTAAAGTGTATAAAGCTTGCTGCTGAGAATGGACATGTGCAATACAATTGCTATTTATTATTAAACAAACTTCAAGTTCATGTACATAAACAACCAAAACACTTACACAGAAGATCCTCATGTTCATTCACTTCTGTTTTGTGTTGAGACGAAAATATTGTAAAACACCAACAGCTGTATTGCACAAGAGAAGGCACTAAAGAAATTATCAGCATAATTATTATTAACTATCATTATTATTATTATTAACAGCATAATCATAACTATCATTATTGTTATTATTATCATTACTATTACCTTCATGGCATAAAACCGCTTCTGATCCTCTCGCTGTACCTTGATGACATTGCCATATGCTCCCTTGGCGATCACATCGATGACCTGTGAAGATCATAGTACATTTCCTTTATAATTTATAATAAAAATACAGCAGAGTACGCTTTAATCAAAACCTGCAGGACCGCTATATTTTCTCCCGTTATGCCCGGTCTTCAGCTTAGAGAGGCTGCTAAAATAGAAGAAAAAAGTCAGGGATTTTCTTTTCTTTCAGTTTACAGCAGTTTTCCGTCTAATCGCATTCAGTATACGCGAACTCTAAAGTACAATCAATATAGATAAAACATATGACATGCAATGCCCCCATACAAGATTTGGTGTCTTGGTTTTAGTTTTAGTTTTAGTACAGGTTTTAGTCAAGCTATTGTTTTTGTGCATATATATATCTGAATGACTCTTTTGTCAGCAATTGTATGGAATTTACTTTTGTGTAATTTTTTAACCAGCTGTGATTCATACGAGGGTGGGTCTCTGCAGAGAGGGAAAATGTTTCGCATTGTGAATTGTAGCAGACTAATAAATAGTCAAAAGTAAAACAGTTGTCAGACTGGTCCAGAGGTCAAATAGACCATCAAATATAACAGAAACATCACGGTAGGCTGTCAAACAGACAGACATCAAAAACATCAACAGCAATATTTGAAGCATGCTGAAAAAATGAGTTACTTTTCACAGTCCATGAATGAAGAAGTTGGCTGAAATGAGACACATCACATTTTCAAACTGATGCCATTTTTCTTCAAGTTAAACTAGTCTTATTTATCTTTTCATACAATAAATCGTAGAAATCCAACATAAAATCCATATCTCTACAGCATTAGAAGCCGAGAAGTTACTCATTTTGCCAGTATACTTCTCATTATATGAAGGTCACTCACCTCAAAATCCAGTTCCTCCAAGTCCCCTCTCAAGGGAAAATCTGGCAAGAAGGCAGCCTCAGCCGGGGGCAGTCTCAGCTCTGGCACTTCTTCCGCAACCACATGTTTGTTTTTCTTTCCAGACTTTCCTCCTTTAGATGATTTGCCCTTTGGCTGGTTCAGACGCTGTGAGCTGGCTGACTTGGCCTTAACAAGAACTGGAGCATCTGGGGGCAAATTCTGGAGGGGGGAGGGGG